TCTTTACATCTTCCCCACCTCTCACAACTCCCAATTACCCTTGCTGTATTGTTGACTGCAAGGGTAGAAGGCTACAGCAGCAACATTTTGAGATGCCATAGCTATGCAATCCCAATTTTCCAACAGCTGAAAYTTAAGTCAAATAAACCACACAAAGACACAGCATTGTTATTTTCTATGTGATTGCCTCTCACTTCTTTATGAAAGCAGACTGGTGCGAGATATATTATTAAAACACTATAAATCAGTATCCTTTATTTTGTCTGGACCAAAGCACTCAAAAATTTTAGCTGTGCTTAGTTCAGCCCTTAGCACAGTCTGTATAATGATTAGTCACCAACAAGATTACCAAGCCTGCACTTTCTCTCACTCTGGTATATTTTACCTATCAGCAATAAATAATATGATTTAGTGTCGCCTGGCCTAGGGTCTCCATGATAAAGTAATAAATACGAACTTACAGCTCAGATAAAATTTTAATAAACATATTCCTACTTATTTTGCAATTGGCACCATGTACAATTCTGTTCTTTCAGTATTACACTTGTATGTCTAGGGGGCTGAATAAAAACTTGAGAAATTGCTTTCACTTTTACAATAAATAATTAGCAAGCCTGCCCAAACATTTATGCATATGCACTTTCACACGCACACATTCTCTCAYACTATATTTGGTAAGATCAAATCAAAATACCATAAATCATCAYTATCTTCAGCCAAGATGTTTTACATATGTTGTTTGTTCTCTTTCCAAAGAACAGTAGTGCTAAATGTCATAGGAGCAAAACCAACTCCTACACAGCTTCAGATGAACMCTGTAGCTCTCTGAATTTCTTGGGAAGGCTGAAGGAAACAGCTCAGSAAGGTTTTCACTCTAACAACTGCATGAAGGAGGGAAAAAACATCCTCCCAAGGAAAATGATCAGGTGATGTTTTTCTGAACCTTGAAAATCATTCCTCTGTGTAAATTATGCTTTTATCATTATATCATGAGGAATTGCTTTTCTGGGTTTTTTATAACAAGAGTAGAAAATAAGATCAGAATAACAAACTTGGYAAACACTGACAGGTTATCTACAACAGTAATTCTATTTTTTAATTTTTAATTTTAACTAAATAAGAATGAGTTAATCATTAAGATTAATCTACATGCAAGTCTAGCATTCATCATTGTTTCAAGTTTCACATTTCTATCACCAAAGGAACTATATTACTTTCTCTTCCTGCTATCCTAGTTTTCAATGTGCCATAAGGCAGCAAATAAACACCTGGTGCTGCTTTATTAGCTTTAATCATCTGATCCATTGTGATTTTGGGGGTTAATGTCTATGCTAAGACTTTAATAATAACAATTCTAAGGAGAACAGAAGTATTTTCTGAAACTCCACAAACATATGAATCATTAAACAAACATCTCTGAGTAAGGCACAACCCAGCAGGGCTGCTACACATCCACACTTCCTTCACTATTAACATTTTAATAGGTGATGACTGATCATAACATTAGAAATTCATACACACAGAGGCTACACGGCAGTAAGCAGCCATCACTGCATGTAAKAAGTGAACAGGGTTTATCAAAGCAAAATTCTCTCTTGAGCCTTTTCTTGGGAAATTAAGTAGAGAAAATTTTTGATCAGTCTCAGTGGTGGCACCTACTCCAGAAAATATGATGAACCAAAATTAACCGGGTTGCCTCATTTGACAAACTTAAAGGCTAGAGTGGTAAAAGAAAAAGAGGGGGAATAAAAAGAAGCTTTTCATGAGCAGAAAGCCTTAAAAACCTCAAATCTACCACCCTCTTCCTCTAAACTAACAACAAAAACCCTAATAAAAAAAACCACTTTACATGACATGCCCATAAATTAAAAGAGCTTTAGAACAAACACCCTAATGCCTCCTTTCTAAGTGTGCTTTGTTGAGATGTAAAGGAAAAGAGAACAAGAAGAGATTTGAATTCTGTAAGCCAGTGCCAGAAAATATCAGGGCACAGTTTTCTCCTGCCTACTCACCCCTCTCATCTCTATGACCCCCAGAAGGCAGGCATTTGAAGACATGCTCTATTAATCCAATTATCTRTATTTACATTTTGACTCAGCCACCTACATCTCCTACAGCAGATACCCTAGCATTCCCAAGAAATCCACTTTGCTTTCTTTAAGTTTGGTCCACCAGCCAGCTGCTTTTTGGCTGTTGGGCACAGGTGGCTCCTAGCATGTCTTAAATACTATTCCAAATCACTTTATATTGTCTTGTAACAACTTTTGTGAGCAGAAGTCAGTACAAGCACTTAAAGGATATCAGCAAGTCCACAAGTCTTAGAAAAGAATAGGAACAAGGCCAAAAATCTTAGAAAACACTAAGAAAGAATTTTTCTTCTGCCTTAAGAAGGAGCTAAAAGAAGGAGCTAACAGGACAAAAAAGCTAAGTGCCAACAGTGCTCAGAATTTACATAAAGTAAGGACTGCAAAATTATTTGGGATCATGGCTCACAATATTCGCAAAGAAAACGTGCAGAGAAAAAGATAATGAGGTGCCTACTTCTGCTAAAAATTTCTTGATGATGAAAGCAAATTATCAGTAACTTATGAATATCAATATTATCCACAACTAAAAAAGCAAGAAAAGTCTGTGATACCTCTGCAACAGCATCATGAGAAAGGACAGGATTCCAGAAGCCCCACCTACACACAGGTATTTTTCATTTAACATAAACCAAGTAAGTTAAATAGAGGYTCACCTGCATATCAATAGTGAAATTAAACCCTAACTTTTAATTGCTAACATGCAGATGTTACTTCGGTTTAATTATGCCAGTATAATAAAAATCACAGCGCTGTTTACTTTGGAATTTTTCCAGCTGTTGGCCAAGTAATTCTTATTTGCTTTGAAGGTTTCCCTTAAAGCAACATGCCTGCTAAAATTTTTCCTTCTTCCATCCCCCAGCTGTCAATTTACCAGCTGTAACAACAGCTGGGTGGTTTAGCAACTGTAAAAGACAAATGCCAATTTCTAGAAAAGAGTTTTCTAATAAGAGAAAATAGGGTTTRTGGCAAGTTTTTGCAGACTCCCCARCCATAAGATTTTAGTCTAACTTGGCACCAGCTGGAGAGCTGACACTTCCTCTGTGCTTCTGCTGAACTCAACCAGGCAGAGTGCTGATCCTGTCTCTCATTTAGTTTTGACAGGRAAAAGTAATTTTGCTGTTGCAGAAAAAACAATGTTCTGCTGAGCTGTTTTGCTAATTATTTGCATTGATTCATATGCTCTTATTCGTATCAATGCTTATTAAAAAGAAGGTTTTAATAYCAGACATTAATTAGAAACACAACTCATATGTATCATGTCACCAACATAAAGCTGACTATGAATTCTGCATATCTTATACACAGACCACTCCATTTGAAAGAGAATGATCCAAATAAAATATGAAAATAAGCCTTGTTCTATCAAAACCCTATCATGGTAGTGRCTTTAGTCRTTAGAAAAGGGAAGGGGAAAMAAAAAACCCTAAACCAGTTCATAATGATCCTCAGGAGTCCTCTTAGCTTTCTCAATTCATTAACAATTGGCATATGTTAGAGGAATCTAAAAACATCTCTAGACACTTTACTGATCTAAATTTATTAGCATAAGAACATTYGTAAGCTTCTGTTGACTTTAATTGCAGTTGTGAGCATTAAGCTGCTCACAGTATGCAGCCCACTTATTTCAGCCTCTAACTGTAGGTWGTGTACCAGCCCAGAAGAATTGCTAATTGAAAACACTGCTCATGGTGCCAAAGTTGAAACTGAATGCTAAAAAGACTTAAACACTGCTTATTTCATTTGCTCTATCTATCCTCCTTCTCTTCACCTCCACAGCTCATGGGGAGTTTTACAAAATGGTTCACCCTGTAAAGCAGTAGAGAGGAACTTGCAAGGAAACCTCCTTCTGGAAAAAAAAGATAACATAAGAGCATTATGATCACTGCCAAACAAAATCAATTGACCTTCCTGGGAACAAAATAGGTAGAGATGCTAGGGAATGCAAGGGAGAAATGTAGTTCTTAAAAAAAAATTGAATTATGCTTGAAGTACATTTGAAGCACCAAGAAATCTTTTTCTACAGCGATTAACACACTCTGCAAAWAAGTACAGCAGTAACAGAAAAATATATGAAAAGAAGTCAGGAGAGAATTTMTGACTTGAACATAATTGTGTGGGGTTTCACTCTTTCAAAAACTGTCTAAGAATTTCAGTGCAGAAACAGGTTATGACCAATTGAGCACCAAATAGAAGGAACGACTTAAACAGGTTTTACCATAGGTACAATAATTGATTGTGAAGGTATGAAAATGTAATACCCTGGAATTCCACCCAGAGCATCCTYCTCTTATTGTGAGCATGCTGGCAAGGCACATGTTCTACTTCATGACACACACAGTAATGATCTGTTACAAGCTGTAATTGTTCCTGCACATGTACAAAAGAATATTGTGCTGTATCCCCAGGAAGAYGGCATGTGCTAGAAAGGGCAAAACCCACAGCTGAACACTGTGAGTCTTGAAAGGAGCTGTAAGAAAAAGGATGAAGAAATTAATACTTACCATCTGCACATTACCAATACAAAAATGAATTCCCTGTGGCTGGAGAAGTATTCACAAATGCTAAATTCTCACCATATGCACTCTAATAATCTCAAAACATTTTGATCCTGTACTCCTAGCAGGATTTTTGAGCATGCACTCCAGTACACATAGGTTTATTTTGCACCCCCGTATACATGGGTTTATTTCTTTATACACATGTATGAAGAAGTTCTAGTATTTTCATCCACACCCCAATGGATCATCTCACACACCTTACTTTGGAGATCACTGCTGTAACGAGCAGAAGAACAAATGCCAGCAAAACAAGCATCTGGATATTTGCTATGAATATGCATGCAAAAATCCTGTGAGTTTTGAGCTGGCTACTATAGCTGAGCTTTTGAGCATACAAATGARAAGTCAGTCTTACCAGTGGTGGTGGTGGAGGTGGCCCTCCAGCAGGTGGTGGTGGAGGGGGCCCTCCAGAAGGTGGTGGAGGTGGTGGAGGAGGAGGAGGTGGAGGTGGCGGTGGCACMGGCATCCGTTCAGGTTTCTAGCTTCACGCAGTTGTGAAAAGTAGAGCCAAAGTCTATATCCTTGAGGAGAAGGAAGGGAAGAGAAAGAAAAGTGGGAGAATAAAAAGAAAAAACAGAGAGGAATGTGTTTATACACTGCAAGCTGAAGATCGGCCAAATATCTATCTCCCAGCAGACTGAAGACTTTTATACTGCACTGGTTCCAAAACTACAGAACGGACAGCCTCCTTACAGCTATGATGACAACATACATCTAAAGAGCAAGCTCTGGGATCTGGACCGGTGCCATGAGTACCAAATGCATAGATGCTAGCCTGTCCARCTATTACATCGTGCCTTAACCTAGCCCATAGCCCTGACATGCAATTCTGCAGAGAACAAATCACAGTTGACCATATGTAGACACTCCTGCTGGGACAAAAACTCTGTTGACTGTAAGCCAGAGGTTTGCTGCTCCAAAGACAGAGTAAGGGACTTTTTATGGCTCAGTGGACTTACTCAATGCTTTAACAAAGAAATAAAAAAAAAAGAGGAAAAAACTCTGAATAATAAGTAACAAAATAATGATACAAATTAAAGCTTCTATTAACAAATGAAATCGTGTCAAGGATAAGACGTCTCAAGTCTTAAAGTCATGTATTTTTCCTGCCATTTTTAATTGTTATTTTTCACAATTCTTTAGTAAGACACCAACAAMAAGTCATGTACCTTCCAACAAAAGCTATATGCTTTTTTCTAAAAAAATCTTTTGCAGAATGACAGTGCATCACTCACTGATTTTCATACCTAACCCAACTCTCAGTGTGACTATGTTTCCTTTCAGTTATCCTTAAAGTTAACAAGAAACCCCTGCATTTCATTAGTAAAGTTGGAAATGAAAGTACTAGGCAGTGCCAAAGAGAGCCCTCTGCAAGCCATACTTGAAATCTTCTTTTGATAGTGACATTTGGATAAATGCTCCCAACACATCYAGTCTTACATCTAGTTCTACATCCMTCATGTCACAGCTATCTTCTGAGACTCTTCACAATGTCATATGAAACGGTGTCAAAAGCCCTACAATAGCACAAAATATGTCATATTCTTTATCTTTTCTTGCTGCAAGGCTTTATCTTAACAAGAAATTACATTGGTTTCTCACATTTACTCTTTATACATCTCCCTAGATGAYGATTTGTTTTCCTGTCTTCAGCAAGGTCTTAAAAACATTTTTCGCATTTTGATGTTTTACTAGAAATTGATKCTAAGTTGAAAAGACCACTATTCCCAGACCCTATTCCCCTTGTTTCTCCCTTCATTTATAAAAACAGGCACTCTATGCTTTTTCAGAATCACCTGTGTAAAGAGGAGGCACAACAGCTAAATCTGGAAAAGTTTGGGAGGGAAGACAGCATAAAAATGAGGCAAGTTACAGTCTTGAGGCTGTTTTGCTAGAGGGTTWGTTTGGAATAGGTAGTGAAATGAAAATGTATATGCAGACTCGTTCACATTTCCTACCTAGAGTACATGAACAATATCCAGGTAATATCAGTATTTTTCTTCTTCTCTATCTTGTAAAATACTTCTTGGGAGATCAGTCAAAACTTGAACATGCAGAGCCTCTGAAACTCTCTGTTTCTCTCTTGAGAGGTTACTATGCAAAGGACTGGCATATCAAAGCACTCTGATCTGTAACAGAATTGGTTACAAACACTTTAATAATGGCTTAATGAAGCTTTCCAAGAAAGCTGGCATCACAGCATCTCCGCCATTCTACCCTCATTGTTGCCCTATTCAAAAACCCATTTTCAGAAGATATCTCTTTTTCTCAATTAAGCCATTCAAAAACACGGACATAAGGAGAATGAGTCTTCCCAGCTAATGATATGTTTCGGGTTAGTATCTTCCTACCCTGCAATACAGGCCTTTTGTCTTCATTAAGGATTTAGAATGAGAAATATGCTCTTAGTCAAATTAGAAAAAAAAAAATACAACCCACGCTTCTGTAGCAGACCACATGAATGACAGCAGGAGGCAGAGCATACTGGAGGCAAGTAGCAGTGGGAGAAAGGAAATGGGAATTGGCTCTTGCTATTTAGAAGTCACAATTTGAAATGCCATCAGATGACTTTTCTATCTGCCTCTCCACCTGTCCCTGCSCCAGCACCTGTTCCTCCAAATGATGCATGCTAAAGTCAAGGACTAGAAACGATGAGACATTCGACAACCCAAAATTCAGTGCAGAGGAGCTGTTCACTGTGTATCCCACTCCCATATCCTCCYGTTTAGTGACACCAGGAAAAATGCATTTCAGGGGCTGTAACACACAGCCCTCAAACAAAATACTGGAGGTACCATATAGCTTTCCTCCCATGCTGTTTCAAACCTTCTATAAATGAACCATCTTTCAGAAAATCCTGCTTACGTGCCTTCTTTTGTCTCTTAGCCAAATTCAGAGGCTGGATGTTCTGACCTTGGTGTGCTTTTGTGTASACATCAAAATTCATGCTTTTTATAYCAGCACTGTTAGGGTGTAATACCTACACAATGAAGAAACATTTTCCACTTGGGGGCTCTATTTGTTCAAGTGGGCTTTGAAAGGAGCACTTCCATCTCATAAGTAGACACTGTATGTTGATAAAGGCAGGCATTTCCAGYTAACTTACAATAAAAAAACATTTCACTCTTAACTTATAAAAACTTATAAAAATGTGGGACTGGCCGTGAGAATTTTTTTGTGTTACAGCATCTATCTCATGTGGTCTGTATTGAAAGGAAATCATGGAGAAGGCTGCAGCACTTTCAATATCAACACATGTTACTTGGAAACCTCTGCTCCTTGGTTAAATGTATTTCATTTTCCTCTCCCCTCATTATATTTTTTGGCTAAAACATGGTCAGCAATTTCCCACAATAGCTTCAGACCATGCCGAGTTTATGGATTTGCACATAATAATCTAAATAAATTCTGAATTAAAACAAAAGAAGGAGTATCACATTAATCAGTTTTAGTGTCTGAAAGAGCCAGGCAAGAGGGAAATGCCACCAAGGATCCTTAAGGCGCATTTGCCCTTTCTCCTCTCCTCTAAATGTACATATCTATAATTGGAAGAGAGGGGTCTGAACTGTCCCCAAGGGGTGGAAATAAAAAGAACTGTCCAAAAGCCTGACAATAGGTGGAGGGGAGAAGGCTATGTGWGTAACCTCAGTTTCCTAAGGCAAGAAGCAATGTAAATCTTACGTTGACTTAAATATCACAGAATAGAATCAAGACAAACAATTGTAGAATTTATTGCAAGAAAGAGAAAAGAAAATCCCAACCTTGCATTTTCTAGTCCACCTCCCTACCAAAGCAAGGTTGTACGTTTTTTTAGTGCTTTCTGAAGTCTAATTTTAGACGTCCCAAATAATGTGGCTTTTATTATTTCCCTTGGGAAGCACTTTCCCAGTCAAATAACTCTTTCAGTTCAGATTGCCTGACACACAGCCTAATTTCYCCTTCTCTTAATTTGATCCCATTTGCACTCCACTGCAGATGACTCTACCTTGTTCCAAGCAAAATAGTTTCTCCTACTGCTCAGCATCAGCTTTGTGRAATATAGGAATTGTAATTCAAAAGTACATTTACAAGTATTTGTTCTATTTTTTGAGTTTTTTACCTCTCACAATTCTGTGAACTTCTTGTCAGTCAGAGATTATTACTCTTCTCTGATCTCAAAACAACTGGTCTTCTTTTGTTCTGTTGGTAAGGATAATTCAAAACCCGGTAATTTCAGGTGTCACAGATTGTTCCTTGCATGTTCTCATTGTGTGTGCTTGAATAGCAGCCGGGTTTAAGAACCAGATTGCAGTCATCAATGTAAGGACTCAAGCTCCAAATTCCTGAAGGCCCAAATAAAGTCTTCACCCAGAYTTTAATTTTGAAGTGTCAGACAAGACAGAGGAGGTGCAGATCTTTCTTCTTCATGGACTGTTCTCTCAGTGTTGTACTGGATTTGTCTGTGGAAAACTCAAAACCCCTGCCTAAGTTTTATGTAGCTTTGGTCTCACTTTGCCCAGACGTGCACAAACTCTGATCCAAGTGCTTCCCAAAGGTCCCCTCCTAAAGTGTCACTGCCACAGCCACCGTGCTGGGCTCACACTAAAACAAAGTCCTGCTGGGAGCAGAGAGCCACACTAAAAAACAGCGGATTTTGGACAGCAGGACACACATCTCCTGCCACACTGACACTCAGCAGAACCAYCACAGGTGTGYCTGCAAAAAATATTCCAAAATATCRTCACCCATCATGGAAAGGACAGGCATGAAACAGCTGTATGTTCAATTTAGTACATATTGTCTAGAAGGAGAAAAGACAGATGGGAAAAACATCACAATTTATCACACATAAAACATCACAATTACAAAAACATCATTATTTAATGTGCATAATATGCATTTATGCACTAAAACAACTCWTAACTAGGGGTATTTTTTTAAATGGCTAATGCCTTTACGTATTTAGGTATTATAGTCATTAATAAGAAACAACACATTTGGAATTGAAAATTTGACCCTTTATAAACAAATGGGAGAAACGACTGCACAGTAACTGATTCATTATTCCTGGGTTTGCAATCACTGCAGCTGCACCCTCTGAAATAGGTAATTCAGCTTTGGGGAAATGTATAGGTTTTTTTTTCCTTCAAAGGAAAGGCTGGGGTAGGTATTTCAAAGGTGTGCAGGAAAGCTTATCTATAACATTGGTCGTATTTTCTTGATTAAAAAGTGAAGAAAAAAGGTAGACCACAAACTGGTTTTATCTTTTAATCAACCTTTATATAATCAAAAATGATTTCCTCATTAAYGGTACTGTTCTGAGTTACAGCTTTTTAATCCTTATATTTCAACAGAAAGCTCACATAATTTCAAAATTACATGTGAAAAAACAGCATCAATAACCACCTGCTCAACTTTCATGATCTCAAAAGATGACAATTAGCATAATCRTGTCCCCATTTGCTCCTGTGAAACACAGGAGAACAGCTAAAATCACTGGTATGAGCAGTCCACAGATCTTTTAACGACAGTATAACACMTG